AGGCAAATCAACCTGTCGTGATGAAAATCCAAATGGTAGTTGTCTGAGAGGTGGGTATATTGACTAGGAAATAACGCAGGGGAAATTTCTGGGTGATGGAAATATTCTGTATCTTGATGGTGGTGTGGGCTACACGGGGGTACTGTATACATTTATCAGAATTTACCAAATTGACACTTAAGATCTCGAATTTCACTGTGTGCAAAGTATACTTTAAATTTGCAATTTTTAAAAAAAGTTTAAAAAAATAAAAGAGTGATGTCTTCAGAGATGGACTGAGAATTCAAAGCTTGACTCTGCCTCCTGACCAGCTGTAGAAAGAGAGTGAGGATTATGGCACTCTCTGTGCCGTGAGGGCCAGCAATAGGCATGTGAGGTCCCTGGAAGGGCACCCAGCCAGGAGAAAGCCTGAACTGTATGGATTTATCTCCTCAAGCCTAGCAAAGGGCCAGGCACACCTGCAGAGATGGCAAGTGCTTGTTGAACTAAATTAATGCCATTTTAGAAAATTGTGTGGGAACACTCAGGCTGCCACTGCCCTGTAGGCAAACTCCATTCTGAATAGAAGAGCCTCTGTTTACAGTGGAGCAAATTTGAGTACCAGTAAAAACACCCCCAAAAAGCATTTTATGTCCTCTCCCACTACCAGCTTTTTCTTCCAAGATAAACAGTATCAGGCCATTGTCTGTGTAAAAGTTTGCTTAATTTTAAGTAAGAGGCCATGAAAATTTACCTATATTATAAATCATCTACTATTCTAGTTAATTTAAATGCTTACTTGCAGTACAGTAGTTTAAGTTTTTATGAATACATTAAAGGACAATTTTACTAAGTTGCTATTTTCACCCCTTGAGAAGAGAGTAATTTAAAAGGCTCTTCTTAATTTTTTTATTAAGTAAATAAAATGTAAAATAATCAGCAAAATAACACATACATGAGAGGAATACTCTGGTCTTATCGCATTCCTTGCATTGCAAAGAAGCAGAGGTTCCAGAGCCAGAGGGTCCATGTCGAAACCCCAGCACCACCACTACATGATGAGTCAGTCTGGGAAAGAGGCTTAACCTACACCTCATTTCTTTGTCTATAAAATGGGCATAAAGTGGTACTTAACACAGGGTGAATAGGAGACCAGAAGGAGTTACGTATGTCGAGTATTAGAACAAGGCATGACCCGAGTAACTCTATCAATGTTAGCTATTACTACCAATATCACAAATAGGACCTCCATCTGCTAACAACAACAAACCCAGGGTAATAAAAGTTAAATAAAGTAGAATCTATCCCATTATGTCAGAACAGAAGCGAATTTTACAGGGCACCTGGGAAGATATAATTGCAACAGTTAAACACTGAGTTCTAGAAAATGTAAAAGTGGTTCTCATCACTACATTTAGTGATGCATCTGGAAGGCTCAAATGTTGTTGGGATAAGAAGAAAGCCAAATAGAGTCTTTCTTCTAATACGTCCCCATCCCAGTCACAGCTTCTGTAGGAGATTGTTAATCTAAAGCCTAACC